TTGCTCAAAATGTTCGTTATTTGAATTGTGCAAATCGGATTTGTACGTGACCAGGCCCGATGCAAGGGCAGTCCAACAACAAGGACACAGCATGCGGGCAGAGCTTGCACTAATGTTTGGCCATGTGGTTGCCCTCAATGTCTGTGTGTCTGTGTGTGTGTGTGTGTGTGTGTGGCTTTGTGTTAACATTTGGGCCCAGACCGTGCATCTTTCTATTTGCCTTTGGCTCCACGCAGTCGCACACACACACAGACACGCAGGGACAGAGGGATATACATGGATTCGCGTTTATTTTTTGTTTGATTTCAAATTTAGCGCACAATTTCGTTTTTTGCTTCATACTTTACAGCGCTCAGCTCTGCATATGCGCCGGCCCTGCCGCTGACTTGTCTCTGGGTTGAGTGTATTGGTTTGGCAAAAGTTTTTTTTTTGTTGTTGGACCCGCCTGGCTGACTGCCACTTTGACCCATTTGGCAGCGACCAAGTCAACGTATATTCAACTCACACGGCATTTGAATTTGCATTCTGACAATGCTTGCAGCCATAATAGCAGGGGGCGCACGGGCCTGAGCAAACAAGAATGAAAACGAAAAACAACATTGCGGCATATATGCGCACAGTGAGTGCAAGCAGTATGCAAACAGCTGCATTTATTGCAATTTAAATGGATAATTGTCAGAAAAATTGCAGCAAATGGCAATTAATTTGTCTGTTGCAGAAAATGTTTATATTTGAGCAATTGCCGTTGCATTGTTTAAGCACTTTTTGCACTCACTGTACGCTAGATGCTTACATATTTCACATATTGGTCGAGCGAAAAAAATTTATGCGCTTTTGCAGTTTATTGAGAGAGCTCGTTACAAACGTTTGTCTATAAATTTGTTTATTGGGCGCCAAGCCGACGTCCAAATACTTGAAGCCATATTAAAGCGACGAGTGCGCACCTTAATTGTTTTTCATTTCACAGCGAGTCGAGCGTTGTGTTCAAATTTTCAATATTGCTCTATTGACACAGGACTCGGGGGCATTGAAACGTATGTCCATGCGGCTTCAATTATATACGTGTAATTACAATTATATCAATATACAGTAAATAATATATATATATATATATATATATATTTGTGTGCTTGTGTAAAGCCACAAAATGTGGGCAGCATGTGGCAGTAGTTTTGTGGCCACATTTGTCGACTTGGAAATCCGATTATAAATTTATATTTCTTTTTTTTTTGTTTAATTATATACAAATATATGTGAAATACTCTGCAATCTGTCCGCCTCTGCACTCTGGCATGCAGCTCGTAACAATTGAAGCGCCTCAAGCATTATCATTTGAGCATCATCCATCGTTCTCTGTCGCTCGTTTCTCATTTATTTTTTGCCGCTGCATTTTAGCCCAATTTGCAAGCAATTCGCATTTTGCATTTTGTGTGCGCTGTGTTTTTATTTATGGCAATTGCCAACTGCTAATTATACCATGCCCAATGACTGGGAAATGGTTTAATGGCAATTGGTTGCATTTGGCTGCTATTGTTACGGCTTTGCTCAATTACCGTTGCGTGGTGAATGTCTGCTGCCTGCTGCCTGCTGCCTGCTGCCTGTTGCCAGCCCACATGACTCCGCCGCAAGCCGCATGCATGGCGCCAATTAAAGACTCAATAAAATTCAATTGAATGAGCGAGCGAGCGAGCGCAGTTCGCATTGCAATCGACCTATCGACTAATTGAGCCTGGCCATAAAATGACAGCAATTGCAGTTTAACAGGAACTGAACCATTCAACAGATTCGACAGCTTTGACAGATTTTTCCAAATTCTCGTTATCGCGCCACAAATAATATTTGTTTAAGCCAGCAATAGTACATATTGAGGTGCTTTGTAACTAAGCTTAGCTTATACTTTTACATTCTATCTTCTTCTCTACTGCTGACTGCTTGGTGCTGCTTTGGCTATCAATGCTGGTGCTGCTGTTGCTTGATCTTATGATTGCAGTCTTTTGACTGAGTGTCTGGCGCCTCTCCTACTTGTGCTCTATCTCTACATCTGTCTGTGGTAGTCTCTATCTTATCAGCTGCCTCCGGCACTACCATTTGCTGCCTGCTCTCCCTCGTGGTATATCCTCTAGGCAATTGGAGTTGCAACTGCGCACATCAAATTACCCTAATGGCTAAACCTGTATTAGAACTCGCTTAAGTTCAACCTAGGCAATGTGCAATGCTAAGCCAAGCAATCGTCTTAATATTAAAGAGTTGTCATAACTGATCTGCCATAGTTTCCAAACTCTTTTATAATTCACAATTGCCGCTCAAACTGCAATTAGCCCAGTGATCGCTTGGCAAATTGATTCTGTGTTCGCAATCTGCTTCGCTAAATTAATAGAAAGCAGTTAAAGCGTTTGCACTCTTGCAGCCGCCACTTGCATATAAGTAAATGGCAGCAGTTTTTTTGCGCGTTAAGGGCAACGACAAATGAAAATGGCGGAAAACTGTGGTAAAAAAACAATGCTCATTTTCAGTATCATTGCACAACAAAATGCCCGGCAATTAATACAAATGATGCTGATGAGTAGGATAATGCGGCAGCGGCATGAGATGAAGCAGAACTTTCGAAGCTGCAAGTTGGCAGCTGAAAGCTGAAAGCCAAAGTTGGCGCAGGGGAAGCGGGCGGAAAGCCAAGCTGGAGCTAAGAGGAAATGGGCACATCGTAGTGTGTGTGAGGGCGATGGGGCGTGGCGTGTGCGGCAGCTGCAATCTCAACTTCGCATGCATGAAAAATGCAGCTCATCTACTTAATGCGCGCGACGTGCCGTGCTATGTTGTTAGAGGGGGTGCAGATGCACAGAGAGAAAGGGAGAGAGAGAGAGAGAGAGAGAGCTGAATCGGAGCATGAGCTCATAGTCAGAATGAGTTGGGCAACCAGCTTACAAGCAAAATGAATGCCACTCACACCATAACCCCCTGCCATACTTCGCACGCCTTGTCTGACTAGCTGTTTGTTTGTTTGCTTGTGCGGATGTGCTGCTGAGCATGCTCTTTTAGCTGCCTTGGCAAATTGCCGTCTAGCTGCGCTAGTGTATGTGTGTATGTACGTGAGTGTGTGTGATTGTGTGTATTAACGCTTTATAAATTGTTAATTATAATGAGTCCAAAGCATGGAGTCCAACAAACAGGGCTGCTTAAGACCAACAATGTCGACATGATTTACATTAGAGCTTAGCAAATTTATGCTGATGCGAGTTATAGAAGAAGGTTATGCTATGTATATATATAAAGATATAGATATAGATATAGATGATACCTAGAGCTGCTGCCAGGTTGCCTGCTTGGATTTTTATCGACGTTGCTTACGCTCGCTGCTGGCGCTAATCCGACTGACATTTTCATTTTACACATGAACAGCAGACGCACACAGCGAAAAACTGTCATTGATAAAAATGAAGCACGCGCACGTGCACACACACACACGTACACACAAGCACTGCTGCCACGTAGCGTGTCAGACATGGCGTATGTGTAATGTGGGCCCCCGCAGCTCCGCACGGCACTGCATAATTAGAATTACAACAATAATAATCATGATTATAATGACAACTTGCCAGGCAAACAGCCCTTAGGCAACAACATTGTCAACATCTGTGTGCGTGTGTGCCTGTGTGTGTGTGCGTGCGTGCAATAATTTATATGCAGCTCAAGCAAAATGTGGCTCACAACTAAAAATTTCTGTTCATTTATAATGCACGGCAAAATGCTGCAGAATTTGCACAATATCTTCAAGTGCACAACACCCACACTCACTCACTCACACACACAGAATACGCTGCCACGTGCTTAAGAAGATGATGATAGATTTGCTAACAATTGCCAGACTCAGTGAGCTTCATGTGCGCCGTTATCTGCTATCTGTGCCAACGGAACAATGGCATCTAGCAACATGGCAAAATGGCAGAGCCACACTCAAGCTGCTACGACGATGCTCTACACTTCCACCAAGGATAGCAAACGCCAGTTTGACAGTCGGGTGTAACCAACACCAATACACCTTGTGAGAACAATTATATCTTAAGATATGCATTTCGAATTTAATCCAAATATATTTTTAAAAATCTTTTGGTGCATTTCCTTAGTCAATATTTTTAAATTTATTCATATTAATTTTGATATTCATTTTTGTAGTTTTTCAATGGATTTGATGTGTATTGAAAGCATTGTAAACTCTTTTTTAGCTATTTCAAATCATTTCAGGTCAAGAATTTGTAAAATTTTGTGCTGATGCAATTTACCCTATTTACTTTTACTATGAGCTTAGTTAATACATATAAAACTGACCCCTAATAAAATTGAATTGCTTTATATTACCTATTCTTTATATGTCTTTTATATGCCTGCAAATTGTCAGTGTCACAAACTGTTGAGGAAAATCCGAATTCTTTTGAGCGTCTCTGTTATAGAGTATTAAAAAATTACTTCAACATATTGCCTGACAATGCCGTTGCCCGCTTAACTATGTGTGTGTGCGTGTGTATTTGGCCACTTTGTGATAAATTTGTAGCCATTTAATGGTTGCAGCAACACCCACGCGATCGGCTGACAGTCGTCGCAGTCGCAAGATAATTTTTCAAGCAGCCAACGGCGTCTTTTTCTGCCGCGGCATTTCTGTGGCTGTAAATGTTGCAGATCACAACTTATTCCTTTCTTCTGTGGCACAAAGAAAATTACATCAATCAAAATGCCTGAGGCGACGGGATTTAACTTTTATAATTTTTATTAATGGCCAAAATGCGCTTCGATATAAAAAGAAATGCTGTTGAATGCTTATAATTAATTAAGACATATTTATGGCAGAAGACATTGGGGAAATTGTTGTTGTTGTTGTTGTTATTATTATTATGGTTATTAGTGTTATTGTTATTGCTGTTGAGACGTTGTTGTTGTTGCTGTTGTTGTTGTTTTTGGCACATTTTGTGGGCTCCTTGAGCTGCTGGTTGACTGTCAACTTGGACCGCCTAATTGGGATTCAGCTTGAGTTCAGCGCTGACCGCATTGAGGCGCGATTTGGTTGGCAAATTGCGCTCCTTCTTCTCCACGAAGATCTGATAGTGGCCCTCGCCATAGCCAAAACTGTGCATGGTCTTCCTCATGGCATCCGGTATGAGCTTGAATCCGCCACGCCGCTCCATCAGCGGCGAGTCCAGACAGTCCGTTTGGCCCGGCTCGCAGTGGCAGTCGGGTTGCTGGCATGCCTTGTTCTCGATGATGCAGAACAACTGCAGGCACTTGCGCATGATATAAATCATGAGGAATATTATCAAATTGCTGGCCAATAGATGCTTGCGCGGCGCCAGAAACAACATCCTGACTGGTTAGACACTGGGCACTCACTATCACAGCACGTGTGCGGTATTTCTTTGCTTTGTTTGCTAGACGCTGCCAGACAGAGGGCCGAACGAGGATTGAGTGAAGGATGCCGCCGTTGCTTGGCTATATATAGGAGTTGCGCTGTTACCTACTTAGGTAATTTTTAGGGTGGTCAGGTCAGGCAGGTCCATGCAGGCAGGGTACAGTCGACGCGTTAGTCCTTCAGATTAGGTAATCGGTTTGCCTGTCAGGCAGACATCAGGCAGCCATCCAGCTAGCGTCTGATGTGTTTATGAGTTTGTGGAAAATATTAACTCAAAAATTGGTTTATCACATACAGGCAACGGCGCTTCTAGCGAAGTCTCAGCGACAGTTGGCAAACACAAAGCGACGCGCACACACACAGCTGACGGAAAAGTGAATTTCCCGTATGTCTTGATTCCTAAAAAAACTTGCATAAATTCGCAAATTGAATATAAATAAATTTCCTGCAAAAAGGCGAACGAAGGAAATCAATATCCATGCTGTGCATATGGCACGTGCCACGCCCATAGCCCCCAGTCCTGCATGGTAGAGCGCCCAATCTGCAGTCAATTCAATTTGACGTTGAGATGGCACAAAAATATCAAGTGAAAAAATATGGAGAAAGAAGTCTGTTGGCCATCTCCATCTTGCAGAAGGGACTTGGTCTAGGCTAATCAATGTGGCCAGCGCTCATTAGGACGTCAAAAAGTTGGCTCCTCTTTTTGCACCTCTAAATGTTGGTTATATATATATATATCTATATATATATATATTCTCACCTTGCGCGCTCTCGCTCTGCTCTGCAAAAAGTTGCAAAAACTTTAAGGCGAAGCTTCATTTGGACATCTGCTTTAGCTTGTTTTTCATTTATTTTGGCCATCGATTGATTATTTTTTATTTAATCTACTTTTTTTTGCAATTTGGCGCTGCAGCCCCAAACAATTTGACTTCATTTGTTGACTTAATCATTTGATTGCGTTTTTCTGCATGCGCTGATTGAATTTCTGCGCCAGTTCGTGTTCAGCCCGGGGAAATCGAGCTAATTAGTTTAATTGATAGTTTTGGCCGGGCCAACAGCACTTTTTCCTCTTTTTTGGCTTAAACTTTTGTGTGGCTTTCTCGAGTATATGTGGAATTAGGGGCAGCTTAAAGAGCATCAGCTTTGCTTTAAGTAGAGCGATTTGAGAGATTCTCTTAGCTGAGATGAAATCGCATTACTATCTGTGTAAGCTCTATAAACTGAGCTAAAAAGAATTCCAGTTTAAATTTTAACTGCTCGCTTTATGGCCGTGCATAAAGTATATATATTTCAATCTACGTTTTATTATGATTTTACGATTTTTGGTTTGATACTCGTTAAACTCTTTCAAAAGTGTTTCATATTGGATTTGCCACACGGGTACAATTGAATACATGTGAGTGCAGAGAGAGAGAAGGAGAGAGAGAGAGAGAGACAGAGAGAGTGAGTGAGACAGAGAGAGAGTTATACATGTTGTGGGCAATATTTATGTGCCGCATGTGTTGGCATTTAAGATGAGTTTTTGATGAAAGCAAATATACATATATATATATATATACATATCTATACGATATATTGGTTTGAATGGCGGCATATAAATCGTGGCATGCCACACGGCGCACGTGCTGAGCAGGAGGTCTTGAGCTGCCCTCACGTCCTTGCACTTTTTGGCAGCTTTCATAAATATTTATGATACGGCGGCGCTCCATACCACAGCTGTCCCTCCTTATAACAGACACAAGCCCTCACACACACATATATATTTATAAAGATATATTTGTGTTTGAGACGTAACAACAAAAGAAAGGTGCGTTGCCTTAGCCCGCAAGTTGACCCGGGGTTGGCGGGCCAATGCCGGGCTACGCGCCCCTATAAATTATGCATTAAAAAGTTCAACATTCAACTTGATTTTGATTGTGTTTTCTAGCTTCGTAATTGTGGCAGCAGCGCGTGCCGCAGTAAATCTGCAACGGGTTCGCTGCTCTCACCGCCCCGCCACCCACTGTCAGACTGCTCTCTAGCTACCTGTCGCCAAAGTTGGCTATTTTAAGCACATTATCCTGCAGTCACGGCGGCAAAAACAAAAGACGGAGCAAAACAAAATTTACTTTCAACGCGATTTGCATTTATTTCCCACTTGGCTGCCAACAAATGGTGGTCTTTAATTCCATTGAAATTGCGATTTCGTATTGCTGAAGAAATGTGCAGTCCGTGTTTGGGGCCACAACAAATAATGCGTCCACAAACTGTCTGCTTACTTAGCCAACTGATGGCCGAGACCTGCGGCAGACAGGGAGACACCGAGAGAGAGAGAGAGGCCATTAGGCAAAGGTAACTGAAGCACACTGTGGATGGGCCTTTTGCAACATCAACAGCAACAGCAACAGCTATAACAACAGCATCTGCATCCATCAGACCAAACAATTTCCGTCAAATTTCCATGCGCTGACAAAAGCTTTTCACTTGAGTGCCAGACAAAAGCCGAGAGCAGGGCGAAAGGCAGTCGCCCGAGCAGGCTGGTTGAGAAATGTTTGCATTACGTAGCCAGAAATTAAATAAGTACAAAGTCGAATCTAAAATGCGCTTTCTCAGCTAGATAAAGGCTATAAGAGTATTAAAATGAATTGTTCTATTAGAATTTCAGCTGAAAAAGGATTAGAGCTGCAATCCAATTGTCTGTACTGAAGCCTGAATTCTGGGCTTCCATGGGACGTTAAGCGTTTCATAGATATGGCAGCCCTCGATTAGGACCTGTCAAGCAGCAGGATTGAGACGTAAAGCAGGCCTTCAAATGACTACCTTGATGTTGTGCTGTTTACTCTGGGCTTCTGGGAAACATTTAGTGCTTCATAGGCATGAAACGTCAGCAGCAGCAAGCCAACTGTGAGACAGGAAATTGGATTCAGTTGCATACCTCAAGGTTCTATTACTGATCTTGGGTTTCTAGAATTTGCCTAGCGCTTCATATGAAAAAATCAAAGTCTTTTGGTGTCTCTCATCACTTCCTGACTTTAATTCTAAAGTTAGCGAAAGCAGCTTTTCATGTAACTGCTCCAAAAACTAATATGGATTTGTATTTATATGAAACTTAAGCTTCGACTGTCTGTGCCTTTGCTTGCAGCTTTTGCCAAGCGCTTGAGTTAGCTGAAATACTAGAATCGGTGTTAGGCTCGCTTAATGCTCAAAGCCAGTTAGGTGTCTGCCAGGGATCTGCGCCTGCCAGCCTCTTAACAGACATATTCAAAGTCATTACTTTGCATTTTACACCTGACAACAAGGTAGCGTAAAGGCTGAGCCACCAACAAAGGGCGCAGCTAACCATGTCTTTCGGCTTTTGGCATGGATCCAGAAATATTTACATATCTATATATACATGCGATGGACAGCAACATGACTGAGGCAATTGTTATCTCAGCTGGAGGCTGGAGCTCCTGACAGCGTGGACAGCTTGCGAACTGAGCCACTGCAGCCAGTTCACCCACGGATGGTCATTAGCCAACTTTGCTGTGACCGCGGCTGTGGCTGCGACAGCGACTGCGACTGCAACTGGCCGGCCAGCTGTTGGCCCTGCTGCTGTCATTCAAATGTCATTAGTCCATAGACTGGGTCAAGCCTGTCCAGCCTGCAGGTGAGGCGTGTGCGGCGCATGCGGCGCAGTCTCGTAATTTCATTTCGAAAACGAGCGCAAATTGGCGCTTGCTGCATGTGAGCAGCGCCTTGCCGGCTGCATTTGATTAAATGTTGCCACGGCTCCATTTGCTGCTCTTAGGTGCGCTCGATTCTTTACTTTTAATTGCATCGAAATTAAAACGCTTTGCATACTTCTCTGCGTCAGATTTATGATTGCAATTCGTTATTTATCACACAGCTGCCCCCACTTCGATGGCATTTTCAATTTTGAATTGGAAAAAGATTTATGCTTTTCGCTTGCTGCACTAAATTTCGCTTTTCATTTTCCATTTTCCATTTTCTTTTTTTGTGGAGTATCAAAAATCTAACCGCGGGCTGCAATTTTCGACTGTTCATTTTGATTCGTTATGCGAGTGGGCGGGCCGCGCCCTGCCAAGCCTGGTCTGGTCTTCTGCGCGAAAAACTAGTCTAACAAATTTATTGTGTAAACTGTTGTCGACATCGGTATTCGACGCATTGCTAATGGGTTTTTGAATATGTTTATACAAGTGCGCTCGCTGCGTGGATCTCGGCCAAAGCGCTCTATAAATATTTATTGATATTTTATCTTTTTTGTTTCTGCCACAAAAAGTGCAAAAGTGGCAAACGCAATTAAATTCAATTAAATTGATTTGAATTGCGTTTTTTATTGCCGAATATCGTATACAATTTAATCGCATTGATGCTTGCTCTCTTTTGGTTTTTTTTATTGTATTATTTTGGGTCTCCTGCATGGCGGGAATATCGCTAACAAATTGTTAATTGAATTCATTTCGCTGGCATTATCTGGCATATGAATTATTGCTGCGGCCATTTAGCAGCTAAAAAGCTGACAACATAAATAATGTAAATGTTAATTGAGTTTTTTGTTATGAGTTTTTGTGCATTTTGATTTGCGATTGGCTGATTTAGTGGCAGAGCGGATTGATGTGTGGTATGCATGTTAGATATAGCCAGGCTTATCGTTACGTAAGGGGATAATGTTTGTAGGCAAATACATGGGACAGGCAGCACAAGGCTTGGCTGAGAGCGAGGTGAGTTTGCTGTAGTGTAGTCTTTGATCTCAGCAGGGCTATAGACTTATAGGTAAGTACTTGTATAACAGCCGCATATCAAGTTCATTTGACATCAGCTTTCTTACTTTTTGTCATCGTTGACCGTCTCGTACTTAAACCCATCTCATATGTGTTAGTTTGATATATATTTATAATCTTCTAAGCTAAGCGTTGTACCTTATAGATACCTCCACTATATCCCTCCAAACTGCATTGTTTAAAATAATAATTCATATGATTATATTAATACTCGTTCATATACTTATATTCCTATTCATTCATAAGCGCATATTTATATGCATTTATATGTATATCCCGTGTCTGCATTGCTCCTATAGCAGCTTCGCACGAGGTATAGAGTATCGTTCAGTGCCCACTAGAGCACGCTTACTTGTTCCTCTTTACGATGTTTCCATGTGAAGTTTAATCAATGCCCAACAGCGTAAAAGCTTTTTTATGGAACGCAAGCTTTTATAGCAAAACTTATTCGCTTAAGATCACTGAGTGTATGCAAAGTTTATATGAATATATACAATCAAACAAGCGCACACACACATACGTATTTATACTTAATATAATATATATATATATATATATATATATATATATATATATATATATATATATATATATATTTATATAAATATTTATATATCTATATATACACTCTTTAGTAATTATCTTTACATTTTAAGCTTTAGTATTTATTTGCTTTTGCGATCCAGCTGTAAAAGATAAAGCATTTCTGAGTAAAAGCTCGCGCACTTGGTAGCTTGAGCTTTTCAGAAAGTTTGGCAGCTTTGCTGTTGCGCTGAGCTGAGGGAACGTATCAATACGATCAAATGACAAAGACTCGCTCTGCTACCTTCTCTCTTTCTCTCTCTCTCTCTCTCTCTCACTGCTCTCAGTTTCTTTCGCTCAGCTCATCTCTTCAGGTGTGTTCCTTGCCCAACCATTGATTAGCTCAGCTAATGAGTCCGATTAAAGGTCAGTTGGCACTCTTTGCTCGCATTTCCGTAGAACTTAATGTGAGCGACAAAACAGAATTTGTTTTAGTTTAGTTTGCGCGCTGTTCGCGTTCATTGCTCCGTTCCGAGTCACATAAAATCGCTTGCGGCAAATTAAATAACTTTTGCTATATTAAAACATATATGTAAATCGAATAGAAAGCATTTAGTATATGCATGTGCGTATACCTAGATTATATCATATTAAACGACGCGAGTTGGCACCAACATGACAGCAGTTCCAGCGGCCGGGCAGCAAATTGAACTCAATGAACAACTGCAACAACACGAACTGGTAATTAATTAAGCAACAACTGTTTGGGGCTCATAAACATTTATTAAAGGCAAATGCTGAGTTGCAGTGCGGCTTATCAGAGTCAGATACAAATCACACACACTGGCTATGTCGTGAATACCTTTGAACCGGTTCGATTGCAATTTGAACCGTCTCCGCTTATCGCCGCCGGCCCATATGTAATATGCCTGCCTGATAAGATTTTTAAGCCACGCGAATCAGAAATCAATAGGAAATTAGACATTTGCTGCAGCTGAACAAAAGTCTCAAGTTGAAATTCCGATTGCAAGTTAGATAAGTGGAGTTGAAACTTGCTCGGTTGCCCTTGCTGTTATTAAGCTCATTAGAAGTTCATCAAAATGTCGGCAGCGGCCGGGAGGAGAGGGGTGGCAGCGCCGGCAGTTTTTGGTATGAAACTTTTGCAGACTCTGTGTCACAGTTGAAAGCATTTTGCGCTAATTTTCAAGTTGAACGAGCGAAACTCTTCGGCAACAACAAAGACAATTGAAAAGTGTCGTGAAAAGTTTTTTTTGTGGCCCAAAACTACGAAAATCCATTTGTCGACATTTAAAGTTTGCATGCGCTACAAGTCAATTGCAGGCGGGCGGCAGGCATCCCTGGCTCAGCCTTCTCCTCGCTATCTCGGGGAGAAAAAACCTAGATGATAAATTGTTGGCTAGCTTCGTACTGACTGCTGGCCATCAATCTGCTGCGGCGCGGCTCAGTTGTCAATTGTTTGAACTTCTTTCACGTGTAAACCAAACGATTGATCAAACCAATATGAGCTGCCGAAGCACGACACCGCCTAACGAATACCCTAACAACCGCTAGAAATTGTTATCATACGGGTAAATCAACATTTGTGTATTTGCCTTGAATGATTTGTAAGATTTACACTTTGATTAGATTAGGTCGAGATTAAAGTCGAACATCGATTTAGTTATATAGTATTAGACAGCTACCGTTATCAATTTCTGTTTAGTTTTCTCGTCAATTTCGTTACGAGTCTCAATATATATTATTTGTACCCACTCAGGCATACTTACGAAATGAGCTGCCAAACTGCCATCCTTTTGTTTTGTTGCCGCTTCGAACCCTTTTCGATTGCTCAAACACCCTCGGGCTATTCCGTACACTATCAAGTTTTGGCATGTCAATTAGCTGTGTGTGTGTGTCGCTCTCTCACCTTTTTGCTACCTTTGCAGCCGATGGACGTGCGCATCAATATGCCCTGGGGCTATGTGGTAGGCCGCTGGTATGGCAATCGACAGGTACGTCCCATACTCGCCCTGCACGGCTGGCTGGACAATTTGGGCACATGGAATGAGCTGCTGCCGCTGCTACCCAAACACCTGGGCGTCCTGTGCATTGATCTGCCTGGGCATGGGTTTTCGTCCAAGCTGCCGGAGGGGATTGCCTATCATTTTGTGGACTACCTGTGCGTGATACTGCGCATTATGGAGGAATATGGCTGGCAGAAGGTGTCGCTAATGGCGCATTCGATGAGCGCCATGTTGTGCTTCATCTTCGCCTCGCTCTATCCGCATCGCCTGGACATGCTGATCAGCATTGATATTGTGAAGACGCGCTACCGCAAGCCACCATCGCAGATAGATTACCTGCGCACCAACATCGAGCGCTATATGGTCGAGGATGAGCGTTTCGCCAATGCGAAGCGCGAGGAGCCGCCAGCGTACACCTGGCAGGAGCTGGAGTATGTGCTGCACAAGGGCTCGGCGGGCTCGGTGCCGCTTGAGAATTGCCACCACATCCTGCACCGCAATGTGGCCAAGTCGACCAAGTATCCGGACAAGTACTACTTCTCCCGCGACGGTCGCTGCAAGTATTACTTCGAGTTCCACACGAGCCCACCCTTTGCCGCCGAGCTGGCGCGCACCATACGCAACGTGCCCTATTGTGTGATCAAGGGCTCCGAGTCGAACTTCATAGACGGCGAAAGTCAGGAGGTTATTGACATACTGCGCTCCAATAATCCACACTTTGAGCTGCACGAGGTGCACGGCACACACCACGTGCATCTGAACAATGCGAAGGGCGTTGCCGAAATAATCAATCCATTTATAATGCATCACAGACCGCCGCATCTGGAGACGTGGACGGTGGATGAGCAAGAAGAGCTGCCAGAGGTCGTACAGAAGTTCGCGCTGGCCGTCGATGAGGCCGAGAATGTGAAGCGCAGAAAGAGAAAAAGCAACCTCTAGCTGTTGCACTCATCTCTGAGTCGTTGACAGCGCGACACGCTTGACACCAGAACAGAATTTAGTTAGAACCTTAAATCAATCAAATCGTAGTTAAGCAGAAAAAGAAAATCATAATTTAAGCGTCAATATATTGATTATGAAGCACAATAAAAATATATATTTGGTTTGTTTTGCTTTCTTGCTACAGTTTGCCAAAATGCAGACGATTTTATCTTAATTACTTTCGGAATAACCTGGATTTTTTTAAGCTTATCTAATCCCTGCTTATATTTACTGCGAGCATTTGCTATGTGCAAATATATATGTACTTTTGTTTTCAGTAAATTACACCACATGCACCTTTTTCCATTCGATCAATCAAGCTCGGGCTGGCATTTAATTTCGCTTTAATCTTTGGGTCGCAGTTCATTGGCCACTTCATTAGTGATAAGGGAGCAAAGGATGTGCGGCATCCACTTAAAAACAATGGCGTTGCAGAAAAACAAAAGGGGCCACAAGAGAGTGTGTGTGGGTGTGTATGTGCGTGTGTGTGTGCGTGGGTGTCTCTGTGAACATTTTCAATGTGTGCCTCGAGGTATGCTACACTAAACAGCAAAGGCAGACGAAGTATCGATATTGAAAGCGAGGCACCCGCCATCGGCCACACAGCGCCTGCCAACCGCCGCCATTCAATGGGTGAAGCTCCCACGGCCCAACTTCTGGTTTGAAAAAATAAACAAATTTAACGTTTTTATTGCCATAGCACGTTGCGGCCGGGTTTTCTACGTAAATTAAATTAGGTAGGAGCCGGAAAAATTGCGCCACCGACGCTCGCAGTGGCAGAGAGACAACGCTGCTCCGGCTGCCAGCGGCTGCAATGCGATTACGTTTCTCCGACGTAACGAAATTGATAGCGGATATAAATGTTTAATGTTTCGGCAATAAAATTGTGGCAAAAGGCTGGCGAATCACGGCGAAGGGAGCAGGCAGCAGGCGGGCATTTCACTTTTGTGGCCAGCGCAACTTCTGGACGCTGGACTGATAAAGCATCTTTATGATAAATTCTGTTGTGGTTAACGCGCAATTTAATTTGTTAAAAATCAATAAAAGCGAAAATCATTTATGCGAACAGCACTCGTGCCTCAACTATTAGAGCGAGAGTAGCTAACCTGCACTTAAACTCTTATCATAATATTTACATTAAAATTCAGAGGGCACTTTTGGCAAATTGTATTGAGTGAATTAGTTCATGGAACGATGTTTGAGAAATGAATAATGAAAGCTTCAAGTAGTTGAGCTTAGAATGTTTATGTTGTTTTTCAGCTTCATTTCATACATTCAATTTGATAGACATTTAAAGAGAAATAACAAGTTTGATGTAGATAGGGGGATAGAGAGTGTTTCTGATGCATTTCCAGTAGCCATTTGAGAGTCTGTTTTGCTTTCAGTTTTGCTTTGTCTCTTTACTTTTCACATGCTCACTGAACTTCGTGTCCCTTACACTGCCGCTCTGAGCGTGCTTCACATTGAGTTCTACGAGAATTGCGCCACACTCGGTCGATGCGACTCTCTCACTGTCAAACCTTGCCCTTTGCACACATTTCTCACTAAAAGTTAACATTTAACAGTTAACATTTGTTATAACATATACAATCTGAATCTTCTTATACTGTGAATGGTGTGCAGTAGTAATAATATAGGTCAAGAATTTTTTGCCTTTGCTTTTATTGCCTTAGACTACATATACCATTTAGCCTTGGGCCTTAACAAAGGCGTGGGCCCATGGGCCAGCATACACATCTTAAATTCCTCTGTTTTGCCTTTTCAGCCTTCACCTGTTGTTGTTAACTGTTTAAGGGAGCTGTGTAGCCGAACTGTGGAAATTGCTAGACATTGATGTAACACTGAGTCTCGCATAAGCCAGTCAGTTCCAGTCCATTTGCGTAGAGCTTTGTTTTGTAAAATACGAATTTTATTGAAGTGAGACTGCATTGCAGGGCAGCATTGAGCGTTGAGCATTGACTTGGTGACTTTGCTGTTCCCTATGGGACTTGTTAGATACAAGTAGCTTTGCACTTAAAAAACTGAATTTGAAACCCACTCTCACATTCGGATTGATATCTATAAGCATCCAAGTGCAAGCCAAAGTTAAGCTTGGATATTGAATATATTAAAGTGGTTTTCTTTTTATATAATTTTTCTTTTAAATTCTGCCAAGTTAACATAAGTTTTAAAACTTGGCTTTCTTCGAATTCTATTACTACAAAATACATGTCTAGATATAGCTTGTTGTCTGTGTGCATAACTGACGACGTAACCTTCAGAAACTCAAAACTTATTCGCTTTGTCATTGCCAGCGTAGGAGTTAATTGGAAACTGTTGAAAGACGCGCGACTTGTCGAGCTGAACGGACTGCAGCTCATGGGGCTGCTTGTTGTGGGCGAGAAAGTGATTGGTGTGCCAGAACTGGGTCTGGGCAGCTGGCAGATTGAGGCGTCGTATGCCCAGCAGACGGTTGCGCACGTCAACCAAACTGGCGGAGCGCGGCTGTAGCCAGAGCACCAACATGATGGCCAACAATGTCAGCAGTAGATATGTCAGGCTGCTGGCCAACAGCGCTGTCCACACATTATCCACGCCCACCTCGTACTTGCTGGCCTCCATTATGGCCAGCTGCAGCACAAGGCCCACGGCCAGCGACAGCTCTGCATAGAGAAATGGCGAGCATTCCAGCAGCCAGTGTAGGGCCTGGCTGGACAGCATGCCCACGCAGGCATAGATGAGGCACAGAAACAAATAAGAATGCTCCGATTGATCCTCATCATAGATGCAAAGCAGGGCAGCTACCAGCGTCAGCTGAATGACGCCCATCAGCAAATACAGGAGCTTTGGCGTGTAGCGCAGCAGCAAGAGGGCACTCAGAGCACAGCCGCCGGCATACAGAGCAAATGGTGTGAATAGTTGGGCGCCTTGCATAAGTACCGTAGTGGAGGTCCACATGAGCTGCAGGTGGACAGGCGAGTGCAGCAGGCAGCAGCGTTGTATCACCAAGACAAGTCCGCCCAGCAGCAGGACAAGCCATTGGCGACTACGCTGAAGCCGATAGTCCTGGCGGTCCACAAACTGAGCCAAAATGGCCTGGCGTGGCAAAAAGACCAGACGTTCCTCGTTGAGCAGATTGAAGACCAAGTCACGTGACTGCTTGTAGTTGTGCACGCCCAGATGCTGCAGCAACTCATTGATGAGCACGAACATCAGCAGCAGCAAATTGATGCCCAGCTCGATGAGCCCGCAGCGCTGCGGCTCGAACTCGTTGAAGATGACAAAACCAATGACCAGGCCGCAGGCATGTGAAGCGTTGCCCATGGCAATCCTCGCCGGGCGCAAGCCCGAAGCATCGCTGCGCAGGCTCACATAGCTAAAGCTGGCCAAATAGACCACGCTCAAGCCAATGAAGCTGAAGTAGTAGCTAACCGCTGAGCGAAGCAATGTGGATAGTTAATTTAAATATGAAGTCAGCTCTACTGCCTCGCTTACCCAACTGTTTGCTGAGCATGAAGCAGCTGCCCAGCAGCGAGCACAGCAGCCCATAGAAGATGATGTAATAATGATCAAAGCTATAGCGCTGCTTGCCATGCTTGCGCAGTGTCCAGCCGAGGGCCAGGGCCAGCGCCATAATGCCAGCTAACAGAGCATACCAATGTGGCCACAGATTGTCATAGACCAAGGCGGACTTCAGATAGTAGCCCAGCGAGAAGCCGCTGCCCCACAGGCAGCACAAAGCTGTAAAGCAAGAGACATATCAGACAAGCAAACAAGTGTTCATTTCAAGTTTGTTTACACGTACCTAGCACGTCGGGCAGCTGGAGCATATTGCGTACTGCCTGCCAAAGGGAATCAGCCAACGAGCGGAACTGCATCGATGGGCATGGACATCTGTGTGTGCTGAGAGCGTTGTCACAAATGATACCAAATGCATTCGGCGAAGCGGGTAAGAGCTGTCAGTGGCTGCTGGCAGATAGCACGATCTTGTCATTGTCGAGCCAACTGATAAGATAAATGAAGCCGAACATGAGACGCCATAATTAAACGACTCACGAATCAATAAGGTCTGTGAATCAGCATGCTGTTAGATGGCATTCTTTTCTCAGCTCAGTTGCAACATAAACAAATCAAAATTTGACTGTGAGAATGAAAATTATAAAAAAAATAATAAATGATAAAATAGTAAAAATCTATATTTTAGGATTTGCCATTGCATCCAGATACTCTTATCACTTTTTATATCAAAACTGTGCAGAGAATAACTAAGCACAAGAATTGGTTTACATATGGCATATAAAAATATATATATTTAAATTTCAAGCTTCTGCTTCTTGTATTCATTTGCATAAAAACCATTTACCCATTTAGGGATATAAAAGTTATCTCTTAATTTATAGACATAAAATATTTATAGCCAACTGTCGATAAATTTTGAGTGAAATCAATTGAGAGCTGAGGCTATTCATGAAATAAATTCATTTCATTTTAAATATTGATAGAAATCTTCTGAGCAATTTCTTCTAGTGGGCAATGTATATGCTGTCAGCATTGCAAGCTATAAAATAAATCAAATTCAATCGGAAATGCAATTTGTTCGAGACTTAGAGAAAATATTTAGCTTGTGTTGGTGTAAGGTATGCTTGCTGGCTTGTAAATTTCATAGTTAATGAATTGGATCTAAGATATGCAATCAATTGAAACAAACGACTCGAAGTACACAAATCAAAATATTTGCAACAATGAAACAATGAAATACGATAATTTCAGGGTAAATATTGAATTGTGAGCAATGTTTGGCTCAGTACTAGATATGCATCTAAGGTGTGCTTCAGTTGAACTGCAACTGTTGCCGTTGGCAACTAAATGCAACTTGCCACATGCAACCAAGTGGCACATAAACACACATAAACACTTGACGCACACGCATGCATATCTAGCTAGACTTGCGACGTGAAGTGTTTGCGGAATTCTAGGCAGCGCCTAAAAGCATGCAACACTTTTTTCTTCCTGTCGAGCTCTGGCCGAGGGGCTGCTGAAGAGGCACCCACAACCCTTGAAGCCAAGCACTGGCTAATTAGTTGAAGTTGTTGCCAGTGTTGCCAGTAAATTGACTTTTGACGATGCGGTTGTTGGTGCAGTTGGTGTTGCACTTGCTGTTGCTGTTGCAACTGCCATTGGTTTTTATGCTTATTTTGGCATTTTGCACGCATTTGCTTTTGACCTTTTTCTGCGCTTGGAGAGTTTTCTTTAGACTGCAGCGAGGCAGACAGCGAGCGAGAGAGACTACGAAGCTTATGAATTCAGTGGAGCAGGCACTAAGCTGCTTTCATAGAATTTCCATTTAACATTTGCCATTTTCCTTTGCCAGTTGAATGAGTGTCTTAGCTTAAGAAGATTTGCTCTGTAATTACGCATTAAATAACTCAGCTGCGGGCTGAAGAATGCAGTTTAGTGCATAAATATTAGGCATCTTATGGGCCATAAAGCTAAGCACATTGTGTTGCCATAACAATAAATTGTGTTTAAAAACAGCAGCAGCAACAGCAGCAGCAACAGCAGCAGCAGCAGCAGCAGCAGCAGTGGCAACAGCAACAACATTGTTGACTGCATTTAATTTTGCTGAGGGTGGCCACTTAGTGGCTCTCGACAGGGCTTCCGTTTTTGTTGCTGTTGTAGCATAAATTAAATTAAAGCTGCACGAGCAACAGAATCAGTTGTGACCAGGCCAAGACCGAACCAATGGCTGGCCCACCAACGTGCAATTACTCAGTTCAGAGCAGGGGGAGCTGGCGCCTAAATCATGCCACACCCATGCACACACACGCCCCCTGTTTGACCTTCAGACAGTTGCAAATGTGTAAACATTTTTCAGCAGCAGCAGCCCACATGACAAACAACAACCCGACCTATGTCACCCCGGCCCGGCCCGGCCAGACCAGGCGAGGCCGGGCCATCTTTTGCGTTGTCACAGATACTTTGCGCTGATTTATGTAAATTGCTTCGGCCCCGCACTGAAATCATGAAAAATCGTTAATTGTGGCAAGTGCTGGACACTCGTTTGGCTTGAAAAACTTCTTGCATGCATGTGTTGCATGCAGCAACAGCAACAGCAACTACAATTATAAAAATCCGTTAACTCCCTCGCACGCTCTTTGACTCTCGCCTGACTCGCAGCAATTATGCAAATTTTAATGCCGCCTGCGCGGCAAAAGTTAATGCAACTTGCTGCATGTTTGCATTATTAAATTAATGCACTTTAAAGCATTCGCTCTTGCAACCTGCTTTTCATGCTTTTATCGCTACAAATATTTTGCCTTCTTTTTCTCTCTTTCGCTCTTTTCTCTCTCTCTCTCTCTCTTTGTCTCTTTCTCTCTCTCTGTGCAACCAAAGTGCATTTTAAATGAGCGCATGAAGCGAACTCTTGTGCTGAATTTTTCATGCAACTCGTGCAGCTGGACGACAGTCTATAGTGTATAGAGTGCGGGTTGATTGAAGTTTTCTAAAATACAAACATATTAAATTACTTTATTCGCCAAGGATATTGGCAAAGCTAAGGAGAGCAAAATATTGAAATATAATATGAATAAAATAGTGAATGAAATTTATATAAACCGATAGATAGAGCTGCCTGCTGACAGCAACTTTTAGCTAAACTTTTAAGCAAGTTGATGAAGTATCAATCAAGCAATGGAAATATAATTAAGGCTTAAGCCAACTGACAAAAATAAATGCTTCTGCACAATGATCAAAGTGAAATGTGCAAATTAAATAATTCTCAAAAAATGGTTGAAATCTATAAGAGCAAAGCGAAATGAAATAAATTCAAATAGAATTTCAAATTGTATTGAATAGAATAAATAATGGAGCAAATTAAAATTGCAAAAGGAATGAAATGAAATAATTGGAAAATAACATGTTAAATAAAATATGAAAGAAATGAAATATAAAACAGAATGGAATGGATTAAAATAAATTGCAATAAATGTTAAAATGATTTCAAAAATATATACAAGAAAATGGTTCAAATGGAATGGAACAATTGGAATGGAACAAACGGAATGGAACAAATGGAATGGAACAAATGGAATGGAACAAATGGAATGGAACAAATGGAATGGAACAAGTAGAGTAGATAATGTAATGACAATTGTTATCAATTCATTTTAAATATGAAACTATATGGAATGGAACACAATGACAACATATTTATTCACAATAATAAATACTTATTCACAATAATTATGATATACACGAGTAGTAATATTATTAACTGTTATAGAGCAAAGATCTCACAGAGTTTTACGCTTTGCCATATACATTTTTCATTGCCATTACTATAAATAATGAGTAAAAAATTAAATAAATTGTAGTCTTCTTCGTTACATGTACTTGGTGTTGACTCTGTGCTATTTGCCTGCAACATAGAGCTTAATTTGATGATGATGTTGATATCTGACAAGGTAAGCAAACAGCGTGCGCCTGCAATTACTTAAATTCATGACGTTTGTCTTTTATGAAAATGATGAGGCACTCAGTTGCTGCAGTTTTATTGACCAACGTACAGGTAGCTGCAGATGAAGTCAAACAAATGGTAGCTGTAAAAGTGCGAGTGGCGCAAAAAACTACATAAAAAAGGTTATGTGGCTGGCGAAAAACAAAAACTGAAACCCAAAACCAGAGCCGAACCCAAGCCCGAATGCGAACTCTAAACCAAAGCTAAGCCAAACCCCAAGCATTGCCAGTTTTTATGTGACGCTATAAATAAAGTAATAACATCATTTTGAAGTATCTCATTACGTGTTACGGCGGCTATGAGTATGTCAATTTTTTACGACATTCAACCGAACACCGACAAAAAAGAGAGAACAGCCGGCGTGCACGGCTCTGCCAAAGACATTTGCAGCCAAAAAGGAAACTTTCGAGTAGTTTTGGCCTTAAAGTGTGCCACACAATTGTAAGTGTGTGTGTGTGTGTGTGGGTGTTTGTGTGTGTTAGGCATTTATGCAAAACTTTGCTGGCTGACCTCAAATCCCAACGCTTTGGCAATTAGTTTTTTCTTTCTGCCAATGGCCAGCAGCCCAATGCCACTTGTGCTGTGTGGGTGTATGGGCGTGGCATGTGACAGCCTGAAAGCCATCAAAATGATGGCAAACTATCAAATGGCCAAGGCACACATTTGCACAGCTGCCGCAATTAGCACGTTTCGCACATTGATTTGACCCACACACAGACAATTTAAGAACTTAAGAACTTGAGTAGATAGTGCTTGGGCATGAGTTATTAAAATACTTTTTCTACTGTAATTATTAATTATGTAATATGTTGAAATGCGCATTCCCTGTTAGCCTCAAGTATTTGGCCAAGTTAAGAGCAATTCTCAGTTGTGATTGTGTTTGTGGATGCGAGCTTTGTGAAGTGTTTCAAGTGCTGAGCAAGCCAAAAGTTTTATTTCTTTATAAATTCTATTGTTAAGGTCTTGTTTGCTCGAATTACTTTTAAGGATATGAACTTGGAAGTTTCAAATAGATTATTTTTCGTAGCTTTTATCAATTTGTTGCTGTTGTCGAGCTCATATTGAAATTCATTTTAATAATCCAAATCATGGCCTTGCTTGCCTTTCTATCTGCTTGCGGCCCAGCTCTAAGCTTAGCTTAGTCACACACTTTGGCTCAAATTGTGTTCTTATAGCTGACAGAATGCACATCATTCAGGCTTAAAATTCTCTTTGCTTCAACTTTATGCCTAATTCTTGGCATGCTCGCTCTTGCTTCATTCGTTTCATTGATTTAGTTGAATTCGTGCACTTTTACACTCTCCAGCACAAACATATTCTCTTTTATTTTTAAATTAACTGTCTGTTCATTTTTAGCATATTTATTTGGCCCGCGCCTAGCATTTGGGTCTCGCATTAGCATAAAATGTCAATTTTATTTATTTTATCGCCTAGAAGAAGAAGAAGAACAAGAAGTAGAAGCTCAGCGACTCATTTAGTTTCGTCTGCTTTGCTGGCAACGCATTTTTCACTTGCAA